GCTCATTTCTCATTCAATTTTCATCCAAATTCAATCAATTTGCCCTTGGGCAATGTGCAATATAGTCCCACAAATTTTCGTATTAATACGTTTGATATTTTTAAAGTTATCGTGCTGACAGACAAACAAATACAGACACATATGTTTGCGATGTTACTCTGAGTGCCCGGCCACGGTGGGATTCGAACCTACGACCTTTGGAATACTAGCCCAATGCTCTTCCAACTGAGCTACGCGGTCAGGACGGTTCGAGTAAGTGATATTTCGGAACAGTATCTAGTTCCTTCAATACCAATGTGTTCTAGTAATATGAATTTTTTTCTGTGTTGGTGTTGTGTACTCAGGTGAATAATATGTTTGCGATGTTACTCTGAGTGCATGTCCACACCGGGCGAGCTTGAAAAATATGCCCGGCCACGGTGGGATTCGAACCTACGACCTTTGGAATACCAGCCCAATGCTCTTCCAACTGAGCTACGCGGTCAGGACGGTTCGAGTAAGTGATATTTCGGAACAGTATCTAGTTCCTTCAATACCAATGTGTTCTTGTAATATGATTTTTTTTTATTTTTTTTTTCTGTGTTGGTGTTGTGTACTCAGGTGAATAATATGTTTGCGATGTTACTCTGAGTGCATATCCACACCGGGCGAGCTTGAAAAATATGCCCGGCTGGGCTAGTATTCCAAAGGTCGCAGGTTCGAATCCCACCGTGGCCGGGCATATTTTTCAAGCTCGCCCTGTGTGGATATGCACTCAGAGTAACATCGCAAACATATTATTCACCTGAGTACACAACACCATGCAACACAGAAAAAAATACAGACACGCACACAAAAACGTGGATGAAAACATAATTTCCTGGCGGAGGTAATAAATTTAAACCTATTCGTTTCACTCAACATTTGTGGCGAAACGTTTGAATACATAATTGATACTCTGCAATTAGAACCGTCAATATTTTGTAAAGTGTCTCTCACTAGTGTATCCATGATACCTTGATGATGTTCTTGTCTCTGCTGTGTTACCCACTTTTCATCTTCATCATCCATGTTCGGATCATACAACAGTTCATCATCTGTTTTCATCGTCCTTCGTTCCTTCGACTTTGACGACACTCCTCCAACATTATCCTCGTCATCTTCACTGCCTGAACTGAAATATATCTCATCGTATGTATCATCTTCTTTCTCTTCATTCACTGGTTCTGTTTCCATTGTGCTGTCCTGTTTTGCTTCATCTTGCTTTTCTTCTTTAGTTTCATTCAGTGGTTTTTCTACAACATATGCAATTATATTGAGCATTAATTCAATGTTGTGCTGGGTACTAGGGGAGGGCGAATAGGGACAATTCTCTCTCAGCATTTTAACCTAACCTAGTCTAGTCCATGTTTGGGGGTGAAAGATGAATATTGAATACCGGTACTGGGTTTTGAAGTAGTGTGAATATGAAATAGTATTGACAGTAGGAATATGAATTTCAAGGGTAGGAATATTAATATTTGAAACAAAAATTTACAAAAATTAGAAGCATAATGCACTCTCCCCCACCGCAGGGGTTTCAGAATAAGCCGGCGGCCGGCGGAGTTCCGCCGGCTACTTGAACTTTTACCGCCGGCTACTTTTCGTCTGGTCACAGGAAAAATTTTATATACAAAGGTACAAGCGAACCAATACGATGTTTGTTATGTTCTAATTGGAATTCAAGTTGGCCTCGAATTTCCCTGAAATCAATCGACGGCAATGGCGTTAAAAATTGCCGTAGAACGTAACAGCTGTCTACGGCAATTTTGTCAGTTTCCACGGCATTTTTTCAAATTACTGTAATAACAATTTAATTTTATTGTTACTTTGGATTGCTGACAAGCTAGAAACATGTTTGAAAGAAAACTGAGACTAAAATAGTAATTCGCGGATGATTTGATCAACATCTGAATTCAAGTATCAAAATAGTAAAGCACAGTGAACAGTTTAAAAATTATACTATACGGCAAAAAATTGCCGTCGTTGCCGCAATGCCAATGATCCACTGCAATTTGTTCTCGAGCTCCCTCTACGGCAATTGCCGCGATAAAATTCAAGCCCTGAATTCATGCAAAACATCACTTATTTTGGAAGATCAATAAGATAAATTATAATACATAGTACCAAACATAGCAAAAGAAAGAACAAGTGATGAAGTGAAGTTCATTACGTACATAAGTATATAACATTTGATTAATGATTTCAGACTCATAAATTAATACTATTACTGTAGTGTACAATTGTTCCTGCAGCTGTAAAAATTAAACTACTAGTTAAAAGTAGCACATTAAAGTACATTGTCACTTACAAGTATAAATGCAAATGACATCTAAAGTGAGTTGTACTTTGTCTTTTTACATGTTCTATATTATTTGATTGTTAATTTGTGGCGAAAAGTTTTTAAATTTCCATGCGAGGGTGACCCTGGATTCCAGAGCCTTCAGTAAATAATAAATTGGAACGTCGTGAAGGCTCTGGTTCAACGGGAGGGTTCTTTGACCGCGCCAATCACAAAACAGAATTAGTCGTTTTAGTATAATTACTAAAACCACTTATTCTGTTTTGTGATTGGCGCGGTTTAATCAAAGAATCCTTCCATTGAACCAGAGCCTTCACAACGTTTCAATTTATTGTTTACTGAAGGCTCTGGAATGCAGGGTATGCGAGGGCACGCTCCCCTCCCCGCGCGATTTTTTAGCTATCATGGTCACAGCCGGCTACTTTTTTGGTACAACCGCCTACTTCAAATCATTCTGAAACCCCTGGCCACTTGCTCAGTAAGTGGAAGCAACATAACAGAGTAATTACATACAGAGGTCTCACTTCTACAGGAAACCGTAAGGTATAGTGTTTTTTTTTTATCAAATTAGCTGCCCAGTGCACAGGGCCGCCGAGAGTGGGGGCAAGGGGGGCAAATTGCCTAGAAATTTTTTGCTGGGCCCCAGTAATTTTTTTGGAAGAAATATTTCCATGCAAAGGGCAAGATATTTGGTTTTTCAGGCAAAGTAATGAAATTTGGTATGAAAAATTGAGGTAAAGTCGCTGGAAAGCAATTAATAAAATCAATTGTCCGAAAAAAATGTTTTCCTGTTGAAATAGGGGGCCCTAAAAAAAATTGCCCCGGGGCCCCGCCAAGCTCTCGGTTGCCCTGCTGGTGCATGGCCATGTTCTTAGCAAGTGCCCTAAAGAGAACCATTCACCCCCTGGAACATTAAATTCCAATATATGTTTTCAGGGGGTGACAGCCTCTCTTTAGGCCACTTGCTAAGAACATGGCAGACTGAATAAATCCCTTGCACTAAATTAACCTGAAGTGATCAACCTCTGTATGTATAAAGTACACTACAGTATGTATAGGGGCTGAGACAAGCTCAGGTAGGTGGAGGCACCTTCTCTGAGAGGGCATTATAAACAGTAGCGAAGCCAGCCCCAACGATTTAGTCCCGCTATTCAAATATTTTCGTGTTCACTGACTGTGAAAACAGCAATTTCTAAAGAAATGAACAATGAAAATAATTTTGAATTTCCATATATATTATATTATAGATTATAAATTAATACTATCCCCAACTGCAGATTTTAGCACCTCCTGTAAGTTTAATTTATACCTGTGGTTTGTGTGTCAAAGAGATGTTGACTGTAATGCGAAAACTCTTTATTCAGCTCCATTTCCATCTCCTTTTCAAAGCTGTCGCTGTCATTTCCATCATTTGCTCCTCGGTTAAAATCTTCGTCAATTTCATCGCCTGAACTGAAGTTCATTCAATTGGATTGAGTTATAGCTTAATATATACCAGAAATGGATAGTCCATCAGCTGCACAGTGTTTTCAATAATAGTACACCCTTTCAGAAAGTATATGTCACCGCATTGACTATAGAGCCTCGTTTTCACATATGTGATATTTGTTACAGCCCAATGTCCCTATAGGCCGGTGCATAATTCTGTACTAACTGTATGCCAATATTAACTATAGTTGATAGTACTGTAATTTGCCAAACTCACATTGAAGATCTTAACTCAAAACTTTTAGATGAAAGGCAAATATAAATGTTGCAAATATATATATATGCAAATAAATAAGCAGCTATTAGATGCCTAATAGGTGTCTTTTATTAAAAACATATTCGGACAAACTTAAATGGGCCATTGTATTTTTAAATCAAAGCCCCCTATTGATCGAAGACATCCATTTTTTGCCCCTCCATTTTTGGTGAATTTGTTGCCGATTTTTATCCTATCCTTTGAAATTTCTTGTTCATTGTTTACCATTCCATGGACTTTTCATAACTGCCCTGTGGCATTTCCACAGATTTGCCTTAAAATTTGGACCCTTCCATGGAAATAGG